TGTGTGGGACAGAGCCATTGGCTTTTTTTTTTTCCAGCTGGGAGCAGGGGGGGGTGGATAAAATGCCGTGGCTCCAGCCGAGGCTTTGCCGGACGACAGGTCCCGGCAGCGCCTCGGCTGCCAACCCCGCTCCGCCGGCGCGGGGGTTTATTTTACCAAGGTCTTTGTTGGAAGAAGTGGTGATGAAGTTAACAGCCTGTGAGCCATAATTGGCTCACATTAAATCAAGGAAATGATATGTTTTGTTTTGCCCTTTTTTTTCCTTTTTTTTTCTTTTAAAATCATATTAAACTGGCAAAAAAACCCGCACGGAGCCAAGGCAGGAGCAAGGCAGCAGCTCTCAGGAATTTTAGGGGGGAGATCTGGGTCCCAAGCTAAACTACAGAAATTTAGTCCTTGCCATCAAAGGAAAAGCAACTTTGCTTCAAAATGCCCAGCAGAAATGGGCAAGGAAAAGGGGATGCAAAAAAACCCAGGCTGTGGCATCGCAACAGGCACCAATCCAAACCCTGTCCCAGCAGCTCAAGAATGTCAATTGGAGATAAAAAAAAAAAAAAAGATTTCTTTAAAAAAATTCTTCTTGAAAGTCATTTTATTTACCTTGCCACCTTTCAACCAACACAGGGTGTCAAAAACCTTTGGAAGTAGTGGATATTTCAGAAATGAACCTTTCCTGGGCTTGTTCTTAAAATTGGTTTTTAGCCCCTGGGGTTACATCCTGGATGTGAGCTGTGCTGGGTGAGGGCAGAACTGTCCTCCCAAGGTCATAGGTCATGGGTGGGCTCAGCTGGATTCCCATGGATGCTGCCACAGTCACTGTGGTGCAGCCCTGTGCTCACTCATCCTGGATCAGCACTGGGCACTGAGAGCCATCAGGGCTCATCCCAGCAGCCACACCCGAGCCCACTCTGCCCAGTGCTGGATTTTAGGGAAAATCTCAGCTGTTTCCCAGGGCTGACCCATCCAAAAGTACCCTGCTTTCATGCAGCATCACTGCACAGGTGACCCCAACCACAGCATCCAAGCAGGGCAAGACACAGATCTAAGGGGTTGCAAGGACAACCAGGGACCAGCTCTGAGCACTGCTGGCTGCATCCCTCCCTCTCTGAGGAGCCACCACAGCCCCGGGGGAATTCAGGCTCCAGAAGAGCATGGCCCTGTGCTGCCCTGACACTGCTCACACCCAAATGCTGCCAGAGAAGACACAGCAAGTGACAAAGCCACCAGATGGCACGGGAAGGGCTGGAAACTCACGACCTTCCCCCACGTCACCTTTTTATCCACTGAGTTTCACTTGTACCCACAGGCACTGGAAGTTGTGGGTCACGAGATTTCACATGACCTAAAAAAAAAGCCCCACGAGCAGGTAAAAATATCCCACTTCTGGTAAATCCCCTGCCCAGCCAAAGATCACATGTGTGTCTTCCAGCCCATCCCAGCTCCCAGGTTAGCCAGGTCGGAAGTGGGATACCAAAACCACTCACTCTAAACATGGGGAGATGAGCAACTCTTCCATTTGCATGGCAACCAGGAAATCCCCAAATTCAACCATTCTCTAACTTACAAACCAAAAAAAAAAAACTACCCTCAGGGGAAAATTCTAATTCTGTTTGGAAATGTCATTTCCAAACGGCACATGAGAAATCACGCTCTGACCCAGCCTTGCTGACAGGCAAATATTTATCCCCACAAAATTTCCACATAAACCCATCACTTTTGTCAGTAGGTCTGGACACCAGGAGCAGAGTGGGAAGGCAGCAAGAGGGGAGCCAGGAGGCACAGGGAGCAGCAGCCCTGCCCGGCGGGTCAGAGCCACAGCCACTGCGAGCCCCTCGCCCAGATCGCTGCAAACAGGGCTCCTCCAGGCTCATTCTGAGGCAAGATGCAGCGTTTTCCAACACACTCATAGCAAGTATCTAATATTTTTTTCAAAACTAGTTGTACCTTTTTTTCCAATACATTAAAGGCGTGCCAGCCTCTGCTCCCAAACCCCGCAGCACTCCATCATTCAGCTCCGTGTCGGAGCGGAGAGGATCCTGTCTGACACACATTTCTCAGTCTATTAGGCAGAGTTATTCCTCTGCTCTGTGTTTTGATACTTACAAAGCCATTACCATCCCTCGCATGCACATCCATCATCGGGCCTTCAAACTCCAGAAAGTCCCAAAAAAACTATTTTCCACTCACCATGCAGCCTGCCAGGCTCTGTTCTTCTACTCTGCGTTCCTTCATCCATCGAAAGACATTTCAGCAAGTTCAGAGTCCAACAAAATAAACAGATGGCAGCCTGAAAGGTGGTGATTTTCTTCTCTGCGGGGGGAGTGGGGCCAGGGAAGAGCTGAGTTCTGTCTGCCTGGTTGGAAAAGCTAACCTGGGCTCCAGGTGCCGATGCCCACCAGGAGCTGGGGGTGCAGGCGCTGCTGTGCAAAGCCATGGGGTCTTGGAAAGCTGTGGGGGTAGCAGCCATAGATGCCTCAGAGTCCCCCAGTTCCACAAGCACCAGCCTCAGGGGTGCATCCAGCACGGTGCCAGCTCCCACCAAGCACACACCGTCCCTCCATGTGCCGCCAGCCGCCCCCTGGATGGCTCTGGAAACTCAGCACACGCTGCTTAGCAAAGAGATGGTTCACCATCGTACCTCTGCACTGCCCTGGTGGCTCCCTGTCCCCAAAATCACCCACGTGCACCCACAGAGCAGCACCGTGTTGCAAAACAAACACCAGCTCTGCTCCAGCCTCAGGAGATGTGGGCGATGCAGAGAGAACCATCCCTGCCCCAGCCCAGGGCAAACCAGCCCCGGGGCTGCCACGACCTGATGGAGGCACTGGGTGTTATTGCATCCTGAGCCAGCAATCACCAGCTCAGACACACGGGAAGATTTATGAGAAGATGTGGCCAGATGAGCGACAGAGACGAACAGCCCTGAGGAGTGACTGATTTCTCCCCCACAAGAGGAATAGAAATTAATTTATGAATTGGGTTAGTTAAGTTGCCAAGTGGCTTTGATGCCATTTATTTTTTTGCATATGTTCATGATCTATCTCACAGCTGTCGGGGGGGGAGGAAGGTCCTGGGGAGCCCGAGCAATGCATCACTCCAGACGAGGCAGCCAACAGCTCTCAACAAAACCAGATTGCCCTTTAATCGGTTCTTTCCCAAAGTGGGCACCTCCTCCCTCCCCAGCTCACCCTCAAGCACCTGGAGCCCTGTTACTTGCTGCTGATGTTGGGAATGGGGCAGAAGCCACTTTCCTGAGCTGATGGTCAAGTACAGCCTACCAGAGACAATGGTGACACAGAGTCTTCTTTCACCTTACCCACCCTTGTGAGTTTTGGTAGGACCCACAGCAGGTCAGGACAGTCCCCAGGGAGATTTGGAGCAGGGACAGGATGGTGGGTGCTTTATTCCTTACCAAGACTGCACTTTTAGAAAGAAAACACAGAAGGCAGAGTGAGGATGTGGTGCAAGGACCTGTTACACCACCCCTGAGGGACCCCCCTTGCCTGAGGGGACACTGAGGGACAGACCTGACGGGGGGCTCAGCCCTGAGCTGAGATCAGTGCAGGCTCTGGCTCCCCCTGAGCCTCCTGGTGTTACAGGTGCTTGGAGGTTTTTCAAGAAACAAAGTAATTTCCTGCTTGAAGCAGTTGACAAATCTGCACAGAAACTGGATAACCCTCCACATTTCAGGGAGACCCGACTGCTCCAGCTCAGGGCTGCAAAACCATGCAGTGGGAGCAAACCCAGGCTCATGGCAAAGTGGATGCTAGAAATGTGACCAATAGCATCTCCTGATGGAGGGGGATTCCAGGGTACAGGGACCAGCTCCAGGTCTGTTGTGACATCCTTGCTTAGGCCAACACTGTGTTGGAAATTTTTTGGATGAGTTGGCTTGCCACCCAGATATCTCCTCCCAGTCCATGACCTTTCTTCCTGCGGAGAAATCAGAGCCCCGAGTGCCTGAGTCAGCTGTAAATCCCCAGCAGGGATCAGGCAGCAAGGGCAGCACTTGGTGTTTGCAGAAGGGGAACCAGTTTGCACGGAGGGAAGACGCAGCAGGTCCTGACTGACACTGAAACGTCAGTGCAGCTCCCACACAGGCTTGGGGGTGCAGAAACCATCCAGGAGGTCCCAAAACCACCAGGGACCAAGGTGAATGATGGAAACAAAAGATGCATTGCAGTAGTTCAGGGAAATACATCTTTCGCTAATTAAATCCCAGTGGCTTTGGCCAGTAGGTTCCAAGCCAGCAGGGTCCAAAATATCCCCTTTCTTACAGAGTGAGTTTGGACCTTGCTGCCCCCCAGGACCTGCAGATGTCCCAGTACAATGCTGCCCCCAGAGCCCTGTGGGGTTGGGAGGATCAGGGTGAGGGGGCAAAGGCACCCATGGGCAGCCTGGGGCCCCTGGTAGCTGCACCCAATGCAGCAGAGATCCCACTGTCCTCTTTTCCATCCTCATCAGTGCTCTTTATCCCCATCACCTGCTCCCTGCACCCACTCCATATTCACCTCCCTCTTGTTTCCTCTCTTTCCTCTTCCTCAGCTCTGGTTTACTCTGAAAATCCCTTCCCCAGGGTGGCTCTGGAGACTGACACAGGAGCAATTTACCCTTGTAAAGAGAAAGAGCATTTTACCAGCCTAACAGTTCCTCAAGGGGAGGGACATGGCTTTAGCAAAGGGACATTTCTGCTGGTGACAACAGTTCTGCAAGGATTGTCCCTGCAAATGCCACTGCAGTGACGGGGTTTGGTGTCGATGCAGTCACAGGGTGAAGGCTTCAGGGCACCACTGTCACCCCGTGGTACCATTGTCACCCCGTGGCCCTTTTCCTGCTGGTTTTCCGGCCCCCCCGAGTTTCCTCTCCAGGGGCAGCCAGGCTCGAGCCCACGAGGCACAGATTTCTCTGATTAGGCAAGGCCAGGCAGCCTCTCCCCTTTCGTTTTCAGCTGCCTCTTCCTCCCCTTCCCCGTGGGCAGCCCCAGCATCCGCCCCGGGCGCAGCAGCACCGGCACCACAACAGACACCAGGCACTGCCATGGATCCAAGTGCACGGGAGCCCCTCGTGAGGAAAACGAGCTCCTCGTACCAGACCTTCCCCGAGAGCAGCATCAGGAGGCTCGACAAGGAGTACCTGCGGTGAGGGCTGGGCTGGAGCCACAGGGGGGGCTGCAGGTCGCGGTTGTGCCCCCCATCCCGAGGGCACTGGGCTGGAGGGAGCTGGGGGCAAGAGCTGTTTCATGGTGCTGCCCCTCCCGAGCTGCCTTGAGGTGGGGTCTCATCCTGACCAAGGGTGTGTGGTGCTGGATGAGCCCACTTGAAATACAGATGGGTTCATGTGCTTTGGGGCTGCAACCCCCATGGGGGCATGAGGTCCTGCTGGGGGGCACGGGGGGCTTTGAAGGAACCTTCTCCCTGCTCTGCCGGGATGAGCCAGCTGCCAGCTGGGTCTGTGGGGCCACCCAGCTCCAGCTTCTGCTTTTTTTGATTTGTTGAACCCGCTGAACGCTGCCTGGCACAGAGGGAAGGATCAGCGGTGCCCAGGGGAGACAGGGTCCCACTACTCCCCACGCAGCAGGAGCTCAGAGGAACCCCACCAGCCCGGGGCCGTGCAGAGGCATTCCCTGGGAAAATCCCTCCACGGGTGTCACAAGAACCTCGGCAAAGGCTGGGGGAAGCTGCAGGACGGAATTTAAGTTTCTGCTGGGTGGAATAAGGGCGCCCAACACATCCTTCTCTCTCTGTCCCTCCCTCAGGAGCCTCCACAACAAGCGGCTCTACCTGGCCGTGTTTGCCGCTGTCCTGGGGAACTTCAGCTTCGGCTTCGCCCTGGTTTACCCCTCGCCCGTCATCCCTGCCCTGGAGGCTCATCCCAGCCCCGCGCTGAGGCTGGACCAGCACACGGCGCCCTGGTTCGGGGTGAGGAGCGGGGCTGTCCCTGCCGGGGCGTGGGGCAGGGCCGAGGGGGGTGTGCGGGGGCAGCCCGGTCTCACCACAGCCCCTCTCGGTGCCCCCGCAGTCGGTGTTCACGCTGGGAGCGGCGGCGGGGGGGCTCAGCACCATGATGCTCAACGACTGCCTGGGCCGCAAGCTCAGCATCATGTTCTCGGCGCTGCCCTCGGCCGTGGGATACGCGCTGATGGCCGGTGCCCAGGGCGTCTGGATGCTGCTGCTGGGCCGGGTGCTGACGGGCTACGCCGGCGGGGTGACCTCCGCCTCCATCCCGGTAACGTGCCGCGGGAGGGAGTTCGCCGGGGAATTGCGGGGCGGGAGATGCCGCGGTGCTGTAGCTGAGGCACCGGCAGAGCTCCAGGGCTGTGGCTGGGAGAACGGGGATGGCGATGGAGCACCAGGTTAGCAGCCTGAGTCGGTGCCGGAATTTCTTGCCTGCAGAAAAGCAAAGGCAGGTCCTAATTCCCTGAGGTTGTTTCCTCCCAAACACCGTCCTCGTGTTTCGTGCAGAGGGGAAGGATTGAGTAACGCCAGGGCACCTCTTTCCAGTAACACAGTCCAAGCACTTCTCCCGTGCCGGGGGGAGGGAGGGAAGTGGCGGTGCCGCTGGACCGCTCAGGTCTCCGCCCCAAGAGGGCAATTTCCCAGCAATTTGGGTTTCCCTTGGCCACGGGGAACGACTGCAAGGTGACAGAGGGCAGGTTTGGGGGGTGACAAGTGGATGTTGCGGCTCTGTAAAGCGTGTGTTGTCCCTCTGCAGGTTTACATCTCGGAGATCTCCCACCCCGGGGTCAGGGGCATGCTGGGTGCCTGCCCTCAGATCATGGCAGTGCTGGGCTCCCTCGTCCTGTATGCCCTGGGCAAGTATCTCAGTGTTCAGGGGGCAGGAAACCCTCAGTGGGACTGCAGGGAAGGGGAGTTTAAAATAAACGATTTTCTCAGCTAGTTGATGGATTCTTCCCCTCACACCCACCACCACAGGGGTGCTCAGGGGGTCACCCACGTGCACCTTTCACTGGTGTGTGTGCTCAGAGGGGTAAATCCATAACCCACACGAACCCGTGGCCATCACTGTACCTGCAGACCCAGGTCCTGCTGAGGTTTTGCCAGGGCTGAAGGGCAGCACAGAATGACCTGCGTGTGCATCAGCTGCCACCACGTGCCCTGGTGTTGCTGCAGGATCTTGCTGGATACCCAAAGATTTGGGAGAGCTTGCTGGAATTTCCCCATATCGTACAGCTGGAAATGCTGCTTTTCTAGGAGAAAATATATGTAAATTTTTTTAATTATTATTATTATTATTAGTTTTCCTGCTAGACTTATTAAATCATTGGGGTGCCCAGGTGGAGGCAAGGCCAGGACACCCATCCCTGTGTGCTTTCCCCCCTGACTGTTCTGCTCTGGCAGGGCTGGTCCTGGACTGGCGCTGGCTGGCCGTCGCCGGGGAGGTGCCGGTGCTTGTCATGATCATCCTGCTCTGCTTCATGCCCAACTCTCCCCGGTTCCTGCTGTCCCAGGGGAAGGAGGAGGAGGCCCTGGGATCCCTGTGCTGGCTGCGAGGTGAAGACACAGACTATGCCCGGGAATACGAGCAGATCAAGGACAGCGTGAGGAAGCAGGTGAGGAGGCTCAACGCCAGCACAGGGAAATGTAACATGAAAACTGCAAAATCCCTCCTTTGGGCAACTCCTAAGCCATCCTCTGGGTGCCCCAGTGGTGCTCAGAGGTGCTATCACTTTGGGTTTCTGGCTTTGTCCCCTCCAGAGCCGTCGTGTTTCCTGTGCTGAGATCAAGGACCCCTTCCTTTACAAGCCCATCCTGATTGCGGGGGTGATGAGGTTCCTGCAGCAGCTCTCGGGTGTCACCTGCATCCTCGTGTACCTGCAGTCAATATTCAAGAAAACATCCGTGATCCTGGTGAGCCCTGGGGTTCAGCCCCTGCTCGGGCTGCCTCGGCTGCAGGGATGGTTGCCCAATGCTCCAAGTCCCCTACAGACATAAGATCCCAACTTGGAAGCCTTTTTTAAAGCACTTGGTTGGCAGCAATTGCCAAGCACCTGCCCTGCAAGAGGCTGCATGAGGATGGGGAGCAGGACTGGCCCTACTGTCTCCCTGCTCTCCTCCTCTGAGCTTCAGGCATATCTTCTCCAGTTTCTTACAAGGAGAACAGCTTTGACCAAGTCGTCAGCCTGGTCAAGGCAGCACCTGCAGGAATTTTCCCCTTTCCTGGCTGTCCCAGCTCAGCTTCCCCCTCATTTTTTTGCAGAAACCAGAGTATGATGCAGCTCTTGTTGGCTTGGTACGTCTGTTCTCGGTGGCGATCGCTGCCGTGTCGATGGATAAAGCTGGGAGGAAGATTCTTCTCTTTGTATCAGGTATGTCTCCCTCCCACTGTTGGGCAAAGGAAGCTCTTATTTAAGGATTTCCAGGAGCTCTGCAAACATGCAAGAGGCGAAGCTTCAGCCCTACAGGACTCAGCAAGGGAGGTGGGGAGGTCTCTTTCCCCTAGTGGTGGCTGAGCTCCTCAGCAGAGGCTTTTTCAGGAGCCCAGTCCTTGGCACAGAAGGGATCACTCACCCTTTGTTCCCACTTTGCCGTTGTATCTCTCCACAGCTGGTGTCATGTTGGCCTCCGACCTGACCATGGGGATCTACATCCACTTCATGCCAGCTTCTCACAACAGCACCACTGCCAACCAGACCCTGCTGAGCTCTGCCAGCCTTCCTGCTGAGCCAACCAACTACATCACCCTCATCCCCCTCCTGGCAACCATGTTCTTCATAATGGGTAGGTGCAGAGAGCCCAGGACCCTCAGCACAGGGCTGGGGACCAGCTGGGGAGATGCTTCTCATCTGAGGCTCGGTGATACAGGGCAAGGAGATGGGGTTTGGAGTTGGAAGGCAGGCAGATGAAGAGAAAGAAAGATGGCAACTGAAGTTGCTTTGACAGCAGGAGTGGGGGAGATGACGATTGCTGGGGTTGCAGGGCAGGATTTCACAGGGCTCTTCTGCACTCCTCAGTGAGCTTCGAAGCCTCAACAGCCTCACCTTACCCTCCTCCCCCACAGGTTATGCCTTGGGCTGGGGCCCCATCACCTGGCTGCTGATGTCGGAGATCCTCCCTCTGAAAGCCCGAGGGGTGGCCTCGGGCCTCTGTGTCATCGTGAGCTGGCTGACAGCCTTCACCCTGACCCAGTTCTTCCTGCCAGTCGTGGTGGGTACTGCCCAGGGGGGCGTCCAGCAGCCCCTCCTCGGCCCCTCTCTGTACCAGCTCACACCTGCCTTCTGTCCCCCCTTCCAGAACGCCTTCGGCCTCGAGGTGCCCTTCCTGTTCTTCGCCGTCATCAGTGCTGGGAACATCTTATTCACGGGCTGCTGCGTCCCCGAGACCAAGGGCAGGTCCCTGGAGCAGATCGAGGCCTTCTTCAGGACTGGCCGGAGGTCGTTCATGAGGTAGGAGCTGCCACCACCAGCCCGTGCCAGGCTGCCCGTCCACAGGCTCGAGGGCAAAGCAACCGTGGTGCTACTGGAGGTGGAGGCTGGAGCTCCCTGGGACAGTGCTGGGACAGGAATGGGCAGCAACAATCGTCTGGCTTTGGGTGCAGAAGGTGCCAGCTGGAACTTTACCTTCTCCTCCCGTCATTCAACACTACCTGTTGCTCTCTGGGCAACGTGTCAATCCATGGTTGGGGCCGAGGAACCAGTGCCAGGCTGGAGGTAAAGGTGTCTTGGAAAATAAAGGCGAGGCTGCAGACAGGAGAGCACGGACATCCTTTGCTCAGCAGCCACCAAAGCAGCCCGAGAGCCTGAGGGGTTTGGCTGGAGCAGAGTTAACAGCTGGAGCCGTTCTGGCAAAAGCTCGTCGTGTAGTTGCAAGAATAAAACAGTTTTGCCTCCAACTGCAAGACGTTGCCTTGATTTGTGGAGGAGAGAGCTGCTGGTGGGTGGGACAGGAGAGGCAGAGCAGGACTGTGGCAAGGGGAGCACAGCAGCCTGCAGCTTCCACATGAGTCTTGTGTACTCAAGGACTGTGAAAGAGGCAGAGCCAGGTGTTTTGTATAAAAAGCTGCCACGTTTTATTGCTCTAAAAACACACATTACACTAGAAGCCTAATGAACAGGACCAAATACAGTTCACAAAGAAAATCCAGGACAAAAGAACGGGAACAGACAAACATTCAGCTGTAGTGCAAGTGATACACTGTAGGAAAGACACAGTGAGTACTGACAACACTTTGTAAGGGGGTGGGTCCTTCCCACCCCAGGGTTTTACTCGTCCACAAAGAGGAAGGTGGATGTGCCTCCATCACAGTTGTGTGGAGCCTCCCCCTCCATCACTTCGAGATTTCAGCTGCATAGTTGGGAGCAAGTTGCTCTTACCCCTTTCCTGTGTGTCCTGCAAGATTAAGGTCTTTTTTCAATTATCTGTTAGAGCCTAACCCTGGGTAAAACACAGCTGCAGGAGGAGGTTATGACGCTGAGGAACTAACAGCCTTGCTGAGTCTCACATCCAACCTAACTCCTCCCAGAAGGGCAGAACAACAAAGGCTGAGCTGGGAGATGATGTGCCCAGGCATTTGTCCAACCTCCTGAAACGCACTTGGCACCCCGAGGGCTGGTGGAGATGCCTGTGCCCTCCCATTCTTGGAACATTAAACCTGCTGCCACAAGGAAGCAGGGGGTAAAACAGCACACGTGACCCAGCCCTTAAGATATGCCAGTTGGCATTTAGATCTCCTGCAGCAGGAGGTGAAAGAAATCACCTAAGAGAAGATGTGCTTTATCACATTAGCATTTAGCATTAATTTAAAGCAGCCTGGGACAGAGGAAGAGAGATGGATCGAAATAAAAAACACAGAGAACATTCAGCATTAAACCTACCCTTTGCTGCTGAGACCCTTTTCCAGAAAGATGTTCAGCCCTGGCTGGAATCTGACTGTTTCTAAGCGTGGCCTGACTACCAGAGCTCTCAACACCCTCTGGTTTCCACTGACCTTCTGAAGATCAGGATCTCTGGCAGCCCTGTGCTAGAACGTTCTTTTTCTCACATGGCCATGGACCAGGTCTTGATGTCTTCAGTGAAACCCTTCCCTGAAGACAGTTGGTGTTTTTTCCCTGAGGAAAAAATGACAAACATGAATGGAGCTTCCCAGGAAGCTCAGCCTAAGGAGAAAATGCCCAGATATGAAATGAGGTTGGACTCTTCAGGTCCTGCGAGAACCACACTGGAGAAGTATTTTCTGAGTGACCTCCTTTCTTAGGTATAGAAAGTCTGATGGTTTTTGCTACATTTTAGAGTCTGAGAAATCACAGTGGCTCTTTCCAGAGGTAGAATGGTCTTTTTATTCACTGCACACACAGAGAATCAATCGGTGTTACAAAACCAGCTCCTGCCCAGAGCAGCGAGGTCTGGGTCTGCAGCAGAAAGCGAGCTCTGCTCTGCTCTTCACGCCCAGTGGGCAGCCCCAGGGGACAGTGGAGCTGACAGGCACGAGTGCTGTCAGCTTCCTGGCTGAACAGGACATGGAAGAGTTGCACTCTGTATAAATGCTCACATGGTGTAACAGGCCACTGCCAGGGGCACGTGTGCTGCCAGTGCCCAGGTGCCAACAGCTCGCTGTAGCCAGTGCATCACCCACTCCTGAGCTCTCACGCAACAAACTTTCTATCCCATTGTCTCCCAGAAAGCCTCTTCCAGACCTGGCAAGCAGAACCTCTTCCACAGACACCCCGTGGATCAGCCATCCAGCCTGGATGCCACCAGCAGGGATTGGGTTGAGCCTGTAAAACCTCCAGAGCAGGGTTTGAACTTCATTTGTCCTTACACAGCTCCAGGCACCCCGAGGGTGCCTCTAAAGACAACTAATAACCACCATGCACTGTGAATGGGCATATTAACTACTGTGATGCTACTACTCTAAAGGTCCTTTCTATCTCCACAAAACAGTCTCTTGCCTATACAGAGGTGAGACCATCCACCAACTGTTGCTACAACTCTTAAAAGCCATGGGTGCTGTCACCAAGCCCGTCTGCAGTGATGGCAGCATCTGGCTTGGTTTCAGCTGCATCAGGCAGCCAAAATTCCCAAGAGTTCCCACTCCAGACAGGCCCCTGTAGGAGTCAGCACTCTTGGAGCACAGATCTGAGACACCCCCACTTGTGGCAGGCACAGAGACACTTTAATCACTGTGGCTGAAGGCTCCAGCTTGGCTCTTACAGGAGAGTCCCTGAGGCCCATTTTCAGCTCAGAGCTGAGCTCTGCATCCCACTCACAGTGGTAGATTGGTGTAGATTGTTCACTTGCCTCAGCCCCAGGGTCAGGACCCTCTGCCACAAAACACACTATGACAGCACTGTTGGCACCCAAGGGAGCAGAGAGGGCCTGTCTGTGCCAGGGAGCCCTCCAGGTGACCTGGAGCAGCACCCACCTTCCCCAGCCCCAGGGACCACTGCTGGCCCCTGGCATCAGGACAGTCAGATGAAGGCACGAGGGTCCCACCAGTTCTGTGGCCCCTCAGACCAGCCTGCAAGTGTTACCCCAATGCCTCTGCTTTGCCTTTCACCTCCTGTCACTAAAGCTACTGTGGAACTACTCACAGAGCAAAGCAGTCACTACCAAAGACATGCTGGTAGCTACGTGCACCAGTCTGCAACATTCCTCTACTAAACACTACAGAACTCCCCAAACCCCCTGAAATGAGAGCACACCTCCTGCTCACAAGGCAGGACTCTGCCCTTGAACCCCCCAGAGCAGGTGCTGCACAGGGACACCCTGTGGAGAGCAGAGAGGCTATTCCCACTGGAGCATCCCACTGGAGCATCCCACTGGAGCATCCCACTGGATGTGGTGCATTCCTCCCGCAGCACCCATCCCTGCAGGACAGACAGCACTCAGCCTCCAGCCTTTCTCAGGCCACAGCACAACCCCTCTGCTCCCCAGGGATTCAGCTGGGGACACAAAGGGTTGTGGCAGCTCCACTACAGCAGTTACAGCCCAGTTTTCCTTCCTTCCCTCTCCCAGAAGAGGGGGAAAACACACTTTGTCAAGCCAGCGACCCAGAATAAGACAAAGGGGTCAAAGGACAACACACTTTTCAAAAGTCTAAGTAATGCTCTGAAGGCTGAAATTGGATTTTGCAGCATTCCCATTACAGCAGCCAGGGCTGTCCCTGGGTTCAGAGACCCCTGGTGAAAGAAGCAGCCCTTTGAAGGACAGGAAACAGAGCACTCCTTTCTCCTATACCCAGAGAAAATGAGTCCCATCAAAATACTTAAATTACTAGAAATAAATTATTCCCCTTTTTCCTAATCAAAAAGCAACCATGTAAAAATCAAATAAATTAAAACCCCCAGAAGAAACCGTGATGAGAAGAGGGGGATCTGGAACAGTTCTGTGCTGCCTGGTACAAAGCAAACAGAAAATACAACATGAAAACCATTGATAAAGCCTGGAATAATGAAGCAAGACACCCCAGCTGTCCACAATGAAATGGTGCAGCCTCCTCTCTGTTTGCACAGGAGGGATATTCAAGCCTTCCATGCAAACCCAGCTCAGGATTGATGCAAAACCACCATGAGCCCAAAGACAAAGGCTGTACCAGGCAAGCAAAGAGCAGGTCCCTTCCACAGAGGGATGGGTCCCAGGCTCACAAGAGAAGGGTGCTCACACCAGCAAAAAATTCCACTTGGCTTAAGCAATAATACCCTTTTCCAGCTGAGGTACAGCAAACATTGTTTCCCTTCTGCCCCAGTAAAAGAGTGAAGCTTAAGAAAAGTGCCCTTATTAAGACAAAGAAATTAATTCTTATAATTCAAGTAAATTGCAGTAACTGCCTGCAGCTGTATCCAGAGGAAGCAGGGACTGTGCTTTGTAGGTCCCAGGATCTGCCCCTGTACCTCTGGCAGCTCCTCTGCAGAGATGGTTACTGTCTTTATGGGTTTTTTTTCTGGAAGTCCTTTCCCACAAGCCCAGTGCAGGCAAGGAGCTGGCAGGTCACCTCTGTCCCTCCTCACCCATCCAGAGAGCAGTTCCCAAAGGGGCACCCCCAAAAAAGGCTGCCTGTTCAGGCTGGGAAAGCAGCACTCAGAGAGCCAGCACCTCTGCAGCAAAAAGAAAAAAATATTAAAAAATTAAGGGACTGTGAGATATTTGGTTGAGGATTGAGGAGGAGAGAGGGACCAACACGCTGAGGTCTGGCTGCTGGTGTGAGAAGAGGGCCCAGCCTGCCCCAGCCCCTGAGACTTCCAGGTGCTGCAGTGTCCAGGGAAATCGCAGTGTAGCAGAGAGGGGAGCAGGCACAGGGAAGGGCAGAGTGGATTTCCATATCTTCACCATCTCAGTGTCCAGGAGAGGTTACCCTGTGTGCCTCAGAGAGCCTGTCCCTCCAGGGTCCCCGTGAGCTTCTCTTCATCCATTTGCTTCTGCTGCTGGTGGATCCGAGCGTAGGAAATGGCATCTCCCCTGGGGAGAGAAGGGACAGCGTGGGGCTGTGAACTCCAGGTGCCCACCATGGTGGGCAGAGACATCTCCCAGCTGGAGCCTGGCTCCACCTGGCTCACCCCTGGCCATCTGTGCTGAGGGATTCCAACAGTGAAATGAGACTTGCTGGCTCTCTCCAACCCCCCACCAAAGCTGCTCGTTGCCCCAGAGCTGGGCCCATCCACTCAGCAGCTGCAGAAAGAGGGCAACCTAGCCTGAACTCCCAGAAGCTCAGAGCTTCAGCAAACCCTGGGGCCTTCCTCCCCAGGGCTCTGAGATGATGCCAAGGACATTTTCTCTGGGAGCATTTACACCTGAAAGCACGGTTAGAGCAAGAGGAAAGCAGAGCCTTAGGGAGGCAGACGGGGTGAGGGCTGGAGCTCCACCTGCCCCTCCCCAAGCAGAAAAACATCTCTTACTTCTTGCCCAGCGCCGACAGACCGTAAAGGACCCCGGTGGCGAAGGCGATGGCGTTTCCGAAGAGCGTGGTCAGCGTCAGGCTGAGCATGACGGGGAACACGGCCATCCTGGAAGACACAGGCAGCCCTCAGAGCCTGGCCACCTTCCCCACGGGGTGCAGGGGTGCTCACCCATCACACTGTGCCCACGTGCATCCCCACCAGGACCCCGGGGCGTCCTCACCCGCAGTAAAAAGCCGCTTTCTGCCAGGCCCGCAGCTTGTCCGCCCTGGCGGAGACGGCGTTGGCGAACTCGATGAACTGGCAGCAGAAAGGGGCTTCACACAGGAACAGGACAAAGGCGTTGAGCCTCCAGACAGAGCAAACCAGAGTTAATCCAGCCCAGTGGGGGTCAGCAATGCCCCCCCAACCCCCTAGAGGCCACCTGCTCCACGCCCAAACGCAGGCAAAGGGAATGGTGAGGCTGGACCCCACAGTGCTCCCCCCCTTCTCCTTGATAATTCCCAAACCCTGGTGTTATTTTGTCAAGGGTATCTGAGTATTTACCCAAAAAGACACAAAGAAATAACATAAATAGAATAAACTCAACATCTCAACCCGCCTGGCGGAGCAAGATCTGGGAATTCCCAGAGTCTGAGGGATGTTTCGCTCCCATCCACTGCCCAAGTAGAGCAGCTCTGCCCCTTCCTCAGAGGAGTCTAATTAACAGAACCTCCCTCCCAGCAGAAAAACGAAAGGAAACCCTGCTCACATCATCCACACGCCAGCTGCGATGTTCAGGGGGTTGATGGTGACACAGTTCCAGAGACCAGCGATGGCACAGGCTGGAAAGAAAGAGGTTTTCAGTGACCACGAACACAACCCTGCGTGCCCATGGTCAGGAGCCCTTGGCCAGCACCTCTAGACGCTGCAGAGAAGCACAGGAGAGTGGGTGGAAAGTTCTGATGGCCCAAAAGGAGCCCAGGATGCAGGGGAGATGGTTTCCTCCCAGCTCCTCTGGCTGGGTATCATTTTGCTCCAAGCACTTGATGCCTCAGCATGACACTTGCACAACTATTTCCCTCGTGTAGAATAACAGAGTGTTTGCTTTTACATGATTTTTACGTGCACCTGATTTTTATGTGCCAAGGAATTACTGCTTTGTCCCGGGGTGAACAAAGCAGTGCCAGCAGGCACCACCTCTGAGCAGCACAGGGACAGTTCAGCAAAAACGTGACTGGCACACAGGCAAACAATAAACAGAGCAGAGGTGAACCCTGTCTCTACCACATGCTGCTGGTCCCGTGCAGCTCCACTAGAGATGGGCAGAAAAGAGCCAAGTTTGGGTCTCTGCTAATACAAATGGAAGCAAATAAAGCAGAGCCCAAAACAGCCCCAGCACTCCTGACTCTAATACAAGGAGAGGAACCAGGCAGCAGCGACCAAGCAGAGCTGCATCCACCTCCTTCCTGCCTCATTAAACTTGCAGAGTGTTCCTGGCACTTGATACAACCCCTTCCCTCTGCCGATGCCAGACGGCGGCCGCTGCACACCGGGAACCCGAGCCCGGGGAGGGAGGGCAGAGACACGGGCTGAGCCCACAGTAAACAACACCAGCTTGCAAAACTCCAACTAAAATTAATTCTGTAGCCCTTAAAGTTCGTTTTGGGGATGGATGATCAGCAGCACGGTGGAGAGCAGCAGAGTCCCTCTCTGAGACTGAGACCAACCTGGGATCGGGGATTTCAGGTGTGTCTGCTCAGGGGATCCCTCAGCAGAGCTGCTGTGAGCAGCCCTGACCTTCAAAAGCCTGGCATATGCTTGCAAGGTTTCTTTCAAGCAGTCACTGCTGAATCCTCAAAGTTCCTTTAAAAATAGTTATCCTTATTTACGGGGCTGGGATGCAGAATTGCAGGCGATGACAGGACCGACTGAAGGTCATCCCACAAGCAAATGACCTCCTGGTTTTAGGAAACACCAAACAAGGTTAATTTCAAACATTTCCTAGAACTAATTCCACAGGACCCGAAATCTTTTGGAGAATCCTGCAAGAGCAAGATCAGCTAGCAGAAATGCCAGAGGATACATTAACATCCATGCTCCGAGGGCACTTCTCATCCTCCCATCTCAGAGGGACCAGTGTCAGTGTCCCCAGTGCTGCGGGGGAAACTGAGGCACTGGGGTGGGATGATCTGCTCCAAAGCCACACATGCAAACAGCTGGAGAGCTGGAAAAGCAATGGCAAGCAGGATTGCTGGGAGCAGCACAGAGAGCAGGGCACAACACCAGGGGCTCTAATTCTGTGTGGCAAACAAACCCTTGGATGCTGATGGAAGGGGAGCTCAGGGGAAGCACTGCAGGCTTGTGGCACTCGCTCTTCCCCAGGAAGGCACACTCCTGACAGTAATGCTGAATGACTTTCTGGCATCTTATGATTAGCAGAGCAGCAAAACCTGTGAACTATCCCCAAAACACAGCCAGGGCTGGGGCAGGACTCTGCCTGGCTGAGCAGCACAGCAGAGTGTAGAGGTCCAGGCAGCTCCCAGCTGGTCTCCACCACAGAACAAACCGAGGGAAGCAGAATGTTCTTTTCCAAGCAAATTTTTGGCCTTATCCTTTTTTTTTTTTTTTTAATCAAGCCAACCAGGGGTTGTTTTGCCAGGGTTCTGGTTTGGTTTGGTCCTCAAACACCCCAAAACAACCCTCGAGCACTAAGTGTCCCTGCAGCAGTGTCAGCTCAGCAACCCACCCGCTTGCCAATGGACTAATGAACCAGGAAGAGCCCGAGCTGAGCATGTCCCCACGTCAGCAGGAGCACCAACCAGCAGGAAAGGAGTCAAAGGTTTGGGATCGCAGGAACGCTGCACTCAGAGGTGGCTGCCAACAGCCACAGAGGCAGATAACGAGCCAGTGACCTTGGGCCTCCTTTGCAGAGCAGCACATCCCACAGCAGCCTGGTGCATCCCTGTCCCACCGGGGCAGGATCAGCTCCTGCCTCAGCAGCCAAAAGGGGACAGAGCTGCCAAGCCAGAGATTTCTTTCTGCAAAATGGAGGCCTCATGATAGGGTTAAAATGCAGACAATGCTCAGTGGCACGTAAGCTATGGAAGACAGACAGTTCTGCCATTTGTTTAACTGCTGTCCCATCTCAAATCCCTGAGGAAGCACAAATAACTGGGAGCTAAAATGAGGGGGGAAGGACACCCTTCCCCACAAAGGCTCTATTCATTTCCAGCAGCTGGTCACTGTCCTCAACACAAGCCTATTTTTGCTCCTAGAGCATTTTACAAAAGCCACAGACTCTCCTCATCCTATTACAAACAGGAACACAAGGGAGAGAAGGGACTTGGCCAAGGTCACCAAGCCAGCGTGTGCAAGAGCCAGAGACAGATCCTGAACCTTGTCTGTCTGGTTCCTGCTCCAGCCCCTGGACTTTTCTGGCTTAAGCAAGTTGTGGCTGCAGGTGTTTGCATGTGGCAGATGTTGTCTGACGGTCTCACCTCCACTAACAAAGTTTCTCTTCCTTTCTACAGGGCGTTTTTCCTTCTGCAAGAAATAATCCAGCCCTGTAGCAGCACCACAATCCTTGTAAATGAGTTCTGTTCTTTCATAGCGAGCTCTGAGAATAGCAGCAAACTCCAGCCTTGCTGTTTTATTCATCACCTCTTCTCCAAACCGTCCACCTTCAACAAGGTGATGCTGAAAAAGCAGCATTTTGAAGAGGAATGTTACCAGCACGGGGCACTGGTTGTCTCTTTCCACAGTCCCCCATTTCCCTGCTCATAAGGAGAGTTTGTGTTTTACTGCCTCATGAACCTCGTGGAGGGAGACAGTCAGGCCTACAGAACACGCTGTCACTGCCCAGATTTTTGGCAATCCTGTTAAGAACCTGTCTCTTCTTCCAAAAGCTTCTTCTCCCAGACTCACCCAAATACGTAAAACTCTCGGCTTTCCTGTAAAAACAAGTCAAGAGTTCTCAGAGCTGTGAACAAAAGGTTGGAAAAATAATCCAAGTACAATTCAGCTGCTTTGAAACACGAAGACAGAGGGGGAGAAAAAAAAAGTCTCCAGAGGCTTGCACTTTTTAAGCCCCTCGTGAGCTGCTCTAGCACGAGGTGGGCAGTGCCTCCAGTGTGACCTGCCCTCTCTCCAGCTTGGGACAGAACCCCTTGAGCTCTGCATGGGACAGAACCGCAGGAGAAGCGCTGAGGCTCCCGCTACAGCCCCCAGCCTGTGGGAAAGACTCTGCTCCACTAAACCCCCACCTGGGACCTGCTCTGCAGACACATCCCAGCTGGTGTCCTGGCCGGCGGCCGGGCCAGAAGCGCGGGGGCCTCCGGCAGGGCACGGCGAGGCCGGGATGTTTGGCCCTGTCGGAGCAGCCCCACCAAATCCTGTCACACCTCCAGGATTTCAGCACCTAAGGCATGAAAACGGCGCGAGCAGCACGTGTTTTGCCAGCCCGGCCAAAAAGGGCTGTGGCCAGCCTGCCCCACGGTACCATGGCCCACAAATGTCATCTCCGAAAGCGCCGTGGGCTCGGGCAGTCCCACAGCAAGAGGCAGGCATGGGAAGGGAGAGAGGGGGATCAGACAAAATGCTACAGCTGATGGAATAAATCAGGGCTGACTGCACTGGCTGAGAAACCCTCTTGTTTAACTCGAAGTCGTGGACCTGAAGCAGAAGAAATTCTCCATCCTGTGCTCTGCAGGAGATCAGACTAAGCGGTCATAACAGTCCCTCCTGCTTTTAAGAGCTATTAATCTCTCCACAGAATGTAGCAAAACAGCACTCCAGGACAGGCTGATTTCTGGCAAAGTTGCAAAGACTCTTTCCCTGGGAAAATTTTTTTCAGCAGCAGGTAATTCAGAGCGCAGCCAACTCGCTCTGCTGTCTGCAGCTCTGTTCTCAATGTCCTACCAAACCCCTTAAAAACACACAACACAAACCAAGTCCATTATTCACCTTCAAAAAACCCCGCAGGCAGGGCCTGTGCAATCAGCAATAGAAGCAATGGGAAACACGCTCCAACAGTCAGGATGGGGAAAGAAAATAAGTTGCAGGAACATATAAACACCCAAAAGTGGAATAAGATGAACCAAACCCTGTGGCCCGTCTTCCAGCCCTGACCTGACCCTGCTGAGCACGAGCACCCTGACCCTGGTGCTTGCAGTAAAATCTCATTTATCTGCCCACAGCCCTCCCCTGCAGTACCAGGGGCTCAGCTGCTGCTCCCATCACTTCCAGAGAGTGCTGTATCCAAGAAGAAACTCGAGGATTTGCAGTTCCCCCCCCCCCGTGACGTCCCTTTCTCCCAGGTGCCAAAGTTCAGGTTCAGGGAGGACAAAGCACGTGCCTCGTGGGCAGCTACAACCATCACTCCTCAGGCACAGCCTCCGCTCCTCCTTCTGCCCAAAAAAAGCAGCAAACGAGCGTCCAGAACAGACACAAACCCATAACCCCAAAAGGCTTTCGTGGCACGACCCCCCTGCACCAACAAGACCCCAAACAAGAGGTTTGGCAGGACCCCGGACACGCTCGCTTTCACATGCAGAAACAGCGCCCGGGGGGGAACCTCTGGCTGGGAGGGAAGGGGATACTTACACATGCCCCCGATGACCCCGGCAATCCTGCAGAGCCACCTGTACCACCAGGTCATGCCATCATCGGCGGAGGGAGCCGCCGGCTCAGGGGCTGCTGCCCCTGGGAACTGCTCATCCTGGGCGCTCATCTCCCCCCTGCTCCGGGAGGCTCACGGGGCAGCTCCCCCCGCTCCCCACCTGAGCCCCGGGCAGCGCAGGATGCCCGCCCTCCAGGTGACACCCCCCCTGTGCCCCCCTGCAGGGGACAGCCCCTACACCCAGCCCCGGTGCTGCTGGGCCTGTCCCCGCGCCCCCATGCAGGGCCGGGCCCCCCCAGGGCTGACAATGGAGGGTCTGTGCCTGCAGCAGCAGCAGCGATGCCAGCGGAGCTGCCTCCACGTCTCCCTGCGTGTGTTGCATTCTGGGTCCCCCCCCGGCAGCAGGCAGGGCTTTGGGCTTTGATGTCACTCTCATTAAAAGGCTGGTGGGCAGAGCCCGCTCTGTACATATTCATAAGCAGAGGCACAGCCGTGCACCCCCCCCACGCCAGGGTCTGGGGGCGCAGGAGCTCTGGATCCCCTGGCAAACGACTGGGTGTTGTTATCCCTGCAGGCAGTGTTTGCTCACCCAGGAAGGGCCACGTGAATCCTTGCATTAAGGTGAATTTAACACTGTTACAAAATTCCGCCCTGGAGATAAGAGGGACAGCTCCCCTTATCGGAATGGAATCAGTTTTTTTTCCCCTAGAAAATGGGAGCAGAAGTAGGGCTTTGCAAGTCAGAGGTGTCCCAGTTGGCAACCTGTTGGTAATCCAAACAAATGGTGCAGGGAAACACCCTGAATCCTCCTAAATTATAGAGACAACAGCTGCGTTTTTTGCAGACGAACATGGAGCACACGGTCAGTAACCAGAGCCCAACTCTGCACAGTTGATCTGGAACAATAAATAGCAGTGAGACTTGGGATCCAGAGCAGAGTGGGAAGACAGATCCCATCTGCTGGAAGGTTACAAAAAAAGGATTAAGAAAAGGATGTCTTTTCATTACCATCTCCTGTCAGACAGGAAATGAAGGCCCAGTGCCTGCATCACCCACGCACTGCAGTGGGATAGCTGATATATCCAGCTCCTCGAGGATCTCGCTTCAGGAATCTACTCTCGAGCTCTTCCAGGAATGGAACGTAAATCTGGAGGCTGGCAAGCAAAAGCACTCCACGTTTAACCAGCAAAAAAACCCAACTATTAATTAAGACAAATATTTGTGGTTGTGAAAGGATGTCAGAGAATCCAACTGAGAGAAAGCAGAAGCAGGGTTAAAACTGCCCAGGCAGAACCATTTATTGCATCCAGCATTAAGAGCAAGTGCAGATGTGTCCAGCCAGGCTCCAGGTGCAGAAAACACCCCTAAAGCAGTATATTGTGATTTTGAGGAGGATGACAGATTTGGACCAGAGCACCATCCAATGTTCAAGATATTAAAAAAAAAAGAACACTAAAAAATACATTTAAATGAAACTCGAGCGAATATTTGCCACTGCACTAAAATCCCTCTCCCTGCTGCAACTTGCCCATGCAGTCTCAACCACAGGCCCTATGAAATGAAGATACAGATTAACAGCACAGCTACTGTTCTTATTTGAGTAAGTAAGTCTTGGCATCAAACCTGGCATTAAGAGACGGAATTCTTTTTATTTTCTCCCAGAAAAGAAGTAGTGGTATCGCTGTCAGGTTTATAATAGTTGAACCACAGAATGGGTGGCTGAGGAGGGACCTCAGGATGTCATTTAGTCCTCCCACATAAAGCCAGCTGTCACCAGGGCTTGCCCAGGTCAGCAGTGCCTCAGTTCAGCCAACTCCTGAAAACATTCAAGCTTTGAGTGACCCGTCCTCGTGTGGCACTACCCTGCACACAAGTCTCCTTGTGCTGGCAGTGCATCCTCAGACACAGCTTTGCCTTCTCTGTAACACTGCAGAATTTCACTGGGCCTCAGTTTTGAGGGGCGTTTACAGTGCAAGAGAGTGAATTTAATGGCTAAACCATAACTGCAGCTATTGGTGGTGTACAGAGGTTTGTTCTGGGACACTGAGAAATTAAAGGACTCTCCTAAGAGGTCACAGCATATTACAGAAGCAGGACCCTGAGACTTCAGTGTCCAAGTCACCACCTGCATTAAATCCAACCAAAACCAACAGAAAATCCATATGAGGAATATTTGCTAAATATTTGGTGGTTCCATGACTTTTGCATAACATTTATCAATATTAACTGAGATCCCAAAGGAGTCAGAAGATATAGTTCTTACTCAATAGGTGGGGAAGCAGTTGCAAGAAGATTAAATGACTCGTGCCCTCGAGCACTGAACAGGCAGCAGTGACTAACTGGGCCACAGCCTTTCTCAGTGCAGTGGCCCTGGCCCCTTTTATTTGGGCTCAATAGCGTGATATTCAGCCCAGAAACTGGTTGGGTGATCCTTAACATTTTCATGGAATTCAATTTCAGCTTGGCTTCCTGTTGACTGCCAGAGGAATTGCTGTTTCCCACGGAACACCATCGTCTTCATGGTGCTCACATCACGGACCTGCATGGAGAGAGACCAAACCATTTTATCTCAGCAGCCTGCCAAGGAAGCGCCTAAAAAAATATACCGGAGACTTGCAAATTGGTCACTCAGGGAAAAGCTGCCCTACAAAGGTTAGAAGAAATACAGTAGATCTCAGTAGTTCTCACTCACATCAGTGTTTACATAACAGAGATCAGAGTCTGACACTGATTTGTGGTTGAACTGGATGGAAATCCCTAAGGAGGAGATGGGTGTGTTCCCATCCAAACCATTCCTGACTCACCAGGATGTAATTGAAGTGGGTGTGGTTGCCCTGGGTGCCCAGGTCAGTGTACAGGGCACGGAGGGCAATGCGGTGCTGGGGAGCCACGTCGATGAAGGTCCGACACACGACTCCTTGCCTTTGGTCAGGCAACTGCACAGGATTCACTATTTCCCCTTGGGGACCAAACAGCTGCTTGTCACAGTCTGACAGGGGCAAAGGGAGCAGAAGAGAGTATGATTAAGAGAAGCATCCAGCATCTCCAAGAAAGAAAACATTTAAATTAAACACAGGCAGAATGGATTTTCATCTGGAAACCTCCAAGCACCAGCAAACACCTGTGGAGGGCTTGCCCTTAAAATAAGGGAATAGTCCACAATTAATACTAATTCCAACACTCCTCAAGAAGGGGCTTATTAGCTGCTAAAAATGAAGCAAGGTTTCCATAGATTTCCATAGATTTCCATAGGCAACCATCGTCCATGCAACTCTGGAACACCTTGTCATGGGTGCCTTAATCTAAAGCAATAGCAAAGCTTTCAGTGAGGTACCTTGGTAATATTTTTTCCTTGCAGTTGTGCTGCTGTACTGAAGAATGACCCCGTTTCCTGGCAGCACAACACGCTGTTTCACAATCAGTGTGTTCGTTCTGGAATTTATCAGGGACAAAGGGAGCTTCCTGCAGCCCGTCCGCCACATCATCCGCCCAGAAAACAGCACTACCTCACCTGGAACGAGGAACACAGGGACTAGAAACACTCTTACTTCGAGAAAAAGGCACAGTTTATCTCATATAGGTCTGGAATCAAGTAATTTCTGCATCTTGTCCCTATCTTATCAAAATCTGTCATGAGAACAGTGCAGTTAACTAATCTAACTGTACTGATTCCAGCAAGAGGGTATATTAGAGTATAACAGGCCAAAACAAGCAGCTTCTTTAACCCCATAAACTCCTTTCATCTCATATCTATCAACAACACAGGTAAGAAACCATTGTGTGAGGGATGGACAAGCATCATCTTCATTTTGCTCCACCTGGCAACAACTTGGTGGGACGGAAAAACTCAGTAAAACATTTTCAGAGATTACACAAGCTCCAAGGCAGCCGGAACCTTTCAGGGCACCAAAGGAGGTGCAGCTTTCCCAAAGGGCCAGGCTGGTTCCCAGCAGCCCCAGGCAGTACCTGCACTGCAGTTGAGGGAGCTCTCCAGGATCCTGAGTGTGATCTCCTCCCTGAGGGGCCTCCCAATGGCCACGGTGCAGTCGCTGCTCTCCACACCAGTCATGTTGATGATCCCAGTGGCATTGAGAAACAGGTTTCCACAGACACCTGGAGAGCAGAGACAGGTGAGAAACACGTCCAGAAGGAACCACAGCTGCTGAAAAACAACCCCCATTCCCTCCATGGCACAATGAACAGGTAAATGCACCCCTGGGCAAAGCACAGGAAGAGTCACAGAATCACAATATTCTATTATATGGAATATCCTGAGTTGGAAGGGACACACAAGGATCATTGAGAGTCCAAATCCTGGCCATACCAGGAATTACACCATGTGCCTGAGAGTGTTGTCCAAAAGCTTCTTGAACTCTTGAGCTGCTGTCCCAAGGGCTCCCAAATCAGAAGAGTTTTGGAAAGCACAGGGAAGTGAGTTCCTAGCTCAAGATAACATGGGCATTCTGGAACAGCATATTTTCCCTCCTCACCAGAAGTATTCCCTCCCATGTTCCTGGTCCCTGTACGGCAGCAGGGTCACCACACCCCAGCTGCACACAAGAATCACCTTTTGGCAGCGTCCTCCTCACCTCCGCCGGTCTTTGTCTGCTCCTGAGGCGCAGCAGACGGAGGCAGATCCAGGCCCTTGTATCTCTCCTCCCTGCCAGCTGCAGCTGTTGTCAGGTGTGTGGCTGGTGTCACTGGCTGCAGCTCTGCCCCAGGGGACCTGGTGCCCACCTGCTCAGCACAGGGCCCCGAGGAGCAGCCACGCACCACGATGGCCTTGGGGAAGCGGCGGCAGAAAACAGGGTCCACGTGCCTGCGGGTCTGCGAGTGGAGGCAGAAATCCCTCCGTGTCTGGATGCCATTCCCACAGGAGGTTGAACACTGCAGAGGAAGAAACCAACAGTCCTTTATCCCTGTGCTCCAGTTGGTATTTAGAAATAAATGCATCGACAGGCACGATCTGGAGAGGGGCTGATGTTTTGTTCACTGCCGCTGTTCTCCCACTCGCCCTTTCAGTGCTCTTGTTCCACCAGCTTAGAAGAGGCCCCACCTTCCAGGAGATCTTCCAAATTATATATTTAAATTGCAGAACCACTTCCTAAAAAATCCAAAAATATCTGCATTCCAGAAGAAAGTATGCCAAGAGCCATTTTTAAACTGCAGCCAAAACCTTAGCTGAGAAAGGTGGGAAGCAAACCTACGGCTGCTAAACACAGGGCAGTGGAAAGGATGGAAAACATCCCTAGAAACAGTTCAGCATTTCTGTGGGAAGCAAATACACGAGGCAGAAGTTGTGATTCTCCCCTGCATGCTTCAGGGCAGTGAATGGCTGTTAAACTGTTGCATCTGAATGGGGGCAGGTACCTCTGACCACT